TGAACATCTTTCGTAACATCATCAATTTTCTACTTAATTTGTTCTTTGGTATTATCATCATCAATTTTTTTCATCATTTGTTTGCTGTCATCTTTACTCTCACCATGAATTTGTGTATGACTTTCGCTTTTTTTTTTTATCAACATTAATTTTTTTTTTTGAACATCTTTCGTAACATCTTTTTCTGTTCATATTTTAGTGACATCATCAAGTTTCTCACTCCTTTCATCCTCTTTGGTAACATCATGGATCATTACTGTATTTTTTCTCTCTTTCGTAACATCATCAATTTTCTGCTTAATTTGTTCTTTTTAATGTATTATCATCATCAATTTTTTTTCATCACTTTCGTCATCTTTACTCTCACCATGAATTTGTGTATGACTTTTCGCTTTCTTTTATATCAACATTAATTTTCTCTTTTTTCTGTTCATATTTAGTGACATCATCAAGTTTCTCACTCCTTTCATCCTCTTTGGTAACATCATGGATCTTTTACTGTATTTTGAACATCTTTCGTAACATCATCAATTTTTGCTTAATTTGTTCTTTTAATATTTAGTGACATCATCATGTTTCTCACTCCTTTCATCCTCTTTGGTAACATCATGGATCCTTACTGTATTTTGAACATCTTTCGTAACATTATCAATTCTCTGGGTAATTTGTCCTTTTCGTTTTATCATCATCAATGTTTTTCATCACTTTCGTCATTTTTAATCTCACCATGAATTTGTGTATGACTTTCGCTTTCTTTTTATCAACATTAATTTTCTCTTTTTCTGTTCATATTTAGTGACATCATCAAGTTTCTCACTCCTTTCATCCTCTTTGGTAACATCATGGATCTTTACTGTATTTTGAACATCTTTCGTAACATCATCAATTTTCTGCTTAATTTGTTCTTTGGTATATTTAGTGACATCATCATGTTTCTCACTCCTTTCATCCTCTTTGGTAACATCATGGATCCTTACTGTATTTTGAACATCTTTCGTAACATTATCAATTCTCTGCTTAATTTGTCCTTTCGTTTTATCATCATCAATGTTTTCATCACTTTCGTCATCTTTACTCTCACCATGAATTTGTGTATGACTTTCGCTTTCTTTTATATCAACATTAATTTTCTCTTTTTTCTGTTCATATTTAGTGACATTTTTTCTTCCATTTCATCCTCTTTGGTAACATCATGGATCTTTACTGTATTTTGAACATCTTTTTAATCATCAATTTTTTGCTTAATTTGTTCTTTTTATATTTAGTGACATCATCATGTTTCTCCTCCTTTCATCCTCTTTGGCAACATCATGGATCTTTACTGTATTTTGAACATCTTTTCAACATCATCAATTTTCTGCTTAATTTGTCCTTTCATTATCATCATCAATGTTTTTAATCACTTTCGTCATCTTTTAATTTGAATTTGTGTTAGACTTTCGCTTTCTTTTATATCAACATTAATTTTCATTTTTCTGTTCATTTAGTGACATCATCAAGTTTCTTTTTCATCCTCTTTTAACATCATGGATCTTTACTGTATTTTGAACATCTTTCGTAACATCATCAATTTTCTGTTAATTTTTCTTTTGGTATTTTTATGACATCATTTTTCCCTTCCTTTTCATCCTCTTTTGTAACATCATGGATCCTTACTGTATTTTGAACATCTTTATTTTTTCTGCTTTAATTTGTCCTTTCGTTTTATCATCATCATGTTTTCATCACTTTCGTCATCTTTTAATCACCATGAATTTGTGTATGACTTTCGCTTTTTTTATATCAACATTAATTTTCTCTTTTTCTGTTCATATTTAGTGACATCATCAAGTTTCTCACTCCTTTCATCCTCTTTGGTAACATCATGGATCTTTACTGTATTTTGAACATCTTTCGTAACATCATCAATTTTCTGCTTAATTTGTTCTTTTTTATATTTAGTGACATCATCATGTTTCTCCCTTTTCATCCTCTTTTGGTAACATCATGGATCCTTACTGTATTTTTGAACATCTTTCGTAACATCAACAATTTTCTGCTTAATTTGTCCTTTCGTTTTATCATCATCAATTTTTTCATCACTTTCGTCATCTTTACTCTCACCATGAATTTGTGTATAACTTTCTTTTTTTATATCAAAATTAATTTTCTCTTTTTCTGTTCATATTTAGTGACATCATCAAGTTTCTCCTCCTTTCATCCTCTTTGGTAACATCATGGATCTTTACTGTATTTTGAACATCTTTTCGTAACATCATCAATTTTCTGCTTAATTTGTTCTTTTTTCAATATTGGATTGACATCATCAAGTTTCTCTCCTTTTTATATCATCCTTTTCTTTGCTGTTCGTAACATCATGGATCTTTACTGTATTTTGAACATCTTTCGTAACATCAACAATTTTCTGCTTAATTTGTCCTTTGGTATTATCATCATCAATTTTTTTCATCACTTTCGTCATCTTTAATGCACCATGAATTTGTGTATAACTTTTGCTTTCTTTTTATATCAAAATTTTCTCTTTTTTCAATTTTCTTTTTTCTGTTTCATATTTAACATGACATCATCAACATTTTCTCATTTGCTTTTAATCCTCTTTGGTAACATCATGGATCTTTACTGTATTTTGAACATCTTTCGTAACATCATCAATTTTCTGCTTAATTTGTTCTTTGGTATATTTAGTGACATCATCATGTTTCTCCATTCCTTTCATCCTCTTTGGTAACATCATGGATCTTTACTGTATTTTGAACATCTTTCGTAACATCATCAATTTTCGCTGTTAATTTGTCCTTTGGTATTATCGTCATCAATTTTTCATCACTTTCGTCATCTTTACTCACCATGAATTTGTGTATGACTTTCGCTTTCTTTTATATCAACATTAATTTTCTCTTTTTTCTGTTCATATTTAGTGACATCATCAAATTTCTCACTCCTTTCATCCTCTTTGGTAACATCATGGATCTTTACTGTATTTTGAACATCTTTCGTAACATCATCAATTTTCTGCTTAATTTGTTCTTTGGTATATTTAGTGACATCATCATGTTTCTTACTCCTTTCATCCTCTTTGGTAACATCATGGATCTTTACTGTATTTTGAACATCTTTCGTAACATCATCAATTTTCTGCTTAATTTGTCCTTTGGTATTATCATCATCAATTTTTTCATCACTTTTTTTGTCATCTTTACTCTCACCATGAATTTGTGTATAACTTTCGCTTTCTTTTTATATCAACATTAATTTTTCTCTTTTTTCTGTTCATATTTAGTGACATCATCATGTTTCTCACTCCTTTCATCCTCTTTGGCAACATCATCGGTTCTTTTCGTACATGTAATTTTTAATTTCTTTCGTATTATCATCATCAATTTTCATCATTTTCGTCTATTTTAATTTTTGGTATATTTAGTTTTCATCATCATGTTTCTCATCATTTCTCCTTTCATCCTCTTTGGTAACATCATGGATCTTTACTGTATTTTGAACATCTTTCGTAACATCATCAATTTTCTGCCTAATTTGTTCTTTGATGTATTTTCATCATCAATTTTTCATCACTTTTCATCCTCTTTGGTCTCACCATGGATTTGTATAACTTTTCCTTTCTTTTATATCATCATTAATTTTCTCTTTTTTGTTCATATTGGTATTATCAGTTCCTCAATTTTTTCATCCTCTTTGGCAACATCACGGATCTTTAATTTATTTTTGAACATCTTTCGTAACATCATCAATTTTCTGCTAATTTGTTCTTTTTTCTATATTTAGTGACATCATCATGTTTCTCACTCCTTTCATCCTCTTTGGTAACATCATGGATCTTTACTGTATTTTGAACATCTTTCGTAACATCATCAATTTTCTGTTTAATTTGTCCTTTGGTATTATCGTCATCAATTTTTTCATCACTTTCGTCATCTTTACTCTCACCATGAATTTGTGTATGACTTTCGCTTTTTCTTTTTATATCAACATTAATTTTCTCTTTTTTCTGTTCATATTTAGTGACATCATCAAGTTTCTCCTCCTTTCATCCTCTTTGGTAACATCCACGGATCTTTACTGTATTTTGAACATCTTTCGTAACATCATCAATTTTCTGTTTAATTTGTTCTTTTTGGTATATTTAGTGACATCATCATGTTTCTCATCACTCCTTTCATCCTCTTTGGTAACATCATGGATCTTTATAACTGCATTTTGAACATCTTTCGTTTATTTAGTGACATCATCAATTTTCTTTAATTTTTTCTTTTTGGTCATATTTAGTGACATCATCATGTTTCTCACTCCTTTCATCCTCTTTGGTAACATCATGGATCTTTACTGAATTTTGAACATCTTTCGTAACATCATCAATTTTCTGTTTTTTTGTTCTTTGGTATTATCATCATCAATTTTTCATCACTTTCGTCATCTTTACTCTCACCATGAATTTGAAGTATAACTTTTTCTTTCTTTTATATCAACATTAATTTTTTTTCTGTTTTTTCTGTTCATATTTAGTGACATCATCAAGTTTCTCACATCCTTTCATCCTCTTTGGTAACATCATGGATCTTTTACTGTATTTTGAACATCTTTCGTAACATCATCAATTTTCTGTTTAAATTTGTTCTTTGGTATTATCATCATCAATTTTTTCGTCACTTTCGTCATCTTTACTCTCACCATGAATTTGTGTATGACTTTCGGTTTCTTTTATATCAACATTTCTCCTCCTTTCATTTCATGGATCTTTACTGCTATTTTGAACATCTTTTAACATCATCAATTTTCTGTTCTTTGGTATATTTAGTGACATCATCATGTTTCTCACTCCTTTCATCCTCTTTGGTAACATCATGGATCTTTACTGTATTTTGAACATCATTCGTAACATCATCAATTTTCTGCTTAATTTGTTCTTTGGTATTATCATCATCAATTTTTTCATCACTTTCGTCATCTTTACTCACCATGAATTTGAGTATAACTTTCGCTTTCTTTTATATCAACATTAATTTTTTCTCTTTTTTCTGTTCATATTTAGTGACATCATCAAGTTTCTCACTCCTTTCATCCTCTTTGGTAACATCATGGATCTTTACTGTATTTTGAACATCTTTCGTAACATCATCAATTTTCTGCTTAATTTGTTCTTTGGTATTATCATCATCAATTTTTTCGTCACTTTCGTCATCTTTACTCTCACCATGAATTTGTGTATGACTTTCGCTTTCTTTTATATCAACATTAATTTTCTCTTTTTTCTGTTCATATTTAGTGACATCATCAAGTTTCTCACTCCTTTCATCCTCTTTGGTAACATCATGGATCTTTACTGTATTTTGAACATCTTTCGTAACATCATCAATTTTCTGCTTAATTTGTTCTTTGGTATATTTAGTGACATCATCATGTTTCTCACTCCTTTCATCCTCTTTGGTAACATCATGGATCTTTACTGTATTTTGAACATCTTTCGTAACATCATCAATTTTCTGCTTAATTTGTCCTTTGGTATTATCGTCATCAATTTTTTCATCACTTTCGTCATCTTTACTCTCACCATGAATTTGTGTATGACTTTCGCTTTCTTTTATATCAACATTAATTTTCTCTTTTTTCTGTTCATATTTAGTGACATCATCAAATTTCTCACTCCTTTCATCCTCTTTGGTAACATCATGGATCTTTACTGTATTTTGAACATCTTTCGTAACATCATCAATTTTCTGCTTAATTTGTTCTTTGGTATATTTAGTGACATCATCATGTTTCTTACTCCTTTCATCCTCTTTGGTAACATCATGGATCTTTACTGTATTTTGAACATCTTTCGTAACATCATCAATTTTCTGCTTAATTTGTCCTTTGGTATTATCATCATCAATTTTTTCATCACTTTCGTCATCTTTACTCTCACCATGAATTTGTGTATAACTTTCGCTTTCTTTTATATCAACATTAATTTTCTCTTTTTTCTGTTCATATTTAGTGACATCATCTAGTTTCTCACTCCTTTCATCCTCTTTGGCAACATCACGGTTCTTTACTGTATTTTGAACATCTTTCGTAACATCATCAATTTTCTGCTTAATTTGTTCTTTGGTATATTTAGTGACATCATCATGTTTCTCACTCCTTTCATCCTCTTTGGTAACATCATGGATCTTTACTGTATTTTGAACATCTTTCGTAACATCATCAATTTTCTGCTTAATTTGTTCTTTGGTATTATCATCATCAATTTTTTCATCACTTTCGTCATCTTTACTCTCACCATGAATTTGTGTATAACTTTCGCTTTCTTTTATATCAACATTAATTTTCTCTTTTTTCTGTTCATATTTAGTGACATCATCTAGTTCCTCACTCCTTTCATCCTCTTTGGCAACATCACGGATCTTTACTGTATTTTGAACATCTTTCGTAACATCATCAATTTTCTGCTTAATTTGTTCTTTGGTATATTTAGTGACATCATCATGTTTCTCACTCCTTTCATCCTCTTTGGTAACATCATGGATCTTTACTGTATTTTGAACATCTTTCGTAACATCATCAATTTTCTGTTTAATTTGTCCTTTGGTATTATCGTCATCAATTTTTTCATCACTTTCGTCATCTTTACTCTCACCATGAATTTGTGTATGACTTTCGATTTCTTTTATATCAACATTAATTTTCTCTTTTTTCTGTTCATATTTAGTGACATCATCAAGTTTCTCACTCCTTTCATCCTCTTTGGCAACATCACGGATCTTTACTGTATTTTGAACATCTTTCGTAACATCATCAATTTTCTGCTTAATTTGTTCTTTGGTATATTTAGTGACATCATCATGTTTCTCACTCCTTTCATCCTCTTTGGTAACATCATGGATCTTTACTGCATTTTGAACATCTTTCGTAACATCATCAATTTTCTGCTTAATTTTTTCTTTGGTATATTTAGTGACATCATCATGTTTCTCACTCCTTTCATCCTCTTTGGTAACATCATGGATCTTTACTGAATTTTGAACATCTTTCGTAACATCATCAATTTTCTGCTTAATTTGTCCTTTCGTATTATCATCATCAATTTTTTCATCACTTTCGTCATCTTTACTCTCACCATGAATTTGAGTATAACTTTCGCTTTCTTTTATATCAACATTAATTTTCTCTTTTTTCTGTTCATATTTAGTGACATCATCAAGTTTCTCACTCCTTTCATCCTCTTTGGTAACATCATGGATCTTTACTTTGTACATTTTCAACATCTTTTTCGTAACATCATCAATTTTTTTTCACTTTTCTCATCTTTAATTTGGTTTCTTTCTTTTATATCAACATTAATTTTCTCTTTTTCTGTTCATTATCATCATCAATTTTTCGTCACTTTCGTCATCTTTACTGTATTTTGAACCATTCCGTAACATCATCAATTTTCTGCTTAATTTGTTCTTTGTATGACTTCAATTTTTTCATCTCGGTTTCTTTTATATCAACATTAATTTCTCTTTCTTTTTCTGTTCATATTTAGTGACATCATCATGTTTCTCCTCCTTTTCATCCTCTTTGGTAACATCATGGATCCTTACTGTATTTTGAACATCTTTCGTAACATCATCAATTTTCTGCTTAATTTGTTCTTTGGTATTATCATCATCAATTTTTTCATCACTTTCGTCATCTTTACTCTCACCATGAATTTGAGTATAACTTTCGCTTTCTTTTATATCAACATTAATTTTCTCTTTTTTCTGTTCATATTTAGTGACATCATCAAGTTTCTCACTCCTTTCATCCTCTTTGGTAACATCATGGATCTTTACTGTATTTTGAACATCTTTCGTAACATCATCAATTTTCTGCTTAATTTGTTCTTTGGTATTATCATCATCAATTTTTTCGTCACTTTCGTCATCTTTACTCTCACCATGAATTTGTGTATGACTTTCGCTTTCTTTTATATCAACATTAATTTTCTCTTTTTCTGTTCATATTTAGTGACATCATCAAGTTTCTCCTCCTTTCATCCTCTTTGGTAACATCATGGATCTTTACTGTATTTTGAACATCTTTCGTAACATCATCAATTTTCTGCTTAATTTGTTCTTTGGTATTATCATCATCAATTTTTCGTCACTTTCGTCATCTTTACTCTCACCATGAATTTGTGTATGACTTTCGCATTCTTTTATATCAACATTAATTTTCTCTTTTTCTGTTCATATTTAGTGACATCATCAAGTTTCTCCTCCTTTCATCCTCTTTGGTAACATCATGGATCTTTACTGTATTTTGAACATCTTTCGTAACATCATCAATTTTCTGCTTAATTTGTTCTTTGGTATTATCATCATCATTTTTTTCGTCACTTTCGTCATCTTTACTCTCACCATGAATTTGTGTATGACTTTCGGTTTCTTTTATATCAACATTAATTTTCTCTTTTTTCTGTTCATATTTAGTGACATCATCAAGTTTCTCACTCCTTTCATCCTCTTTGGTAACATCATGGATCTTTACTGTATTTTGAACATCATTCGTAACATCATCAATTTTCTGCTTAATTTGTTCTTTGGTATTATCATCATCAATTTTTTCATCACTTTCGTCATCTTTTACTCTCACCATGAATTTTTACTGACTTTCGCTTTCTTTTATATCAACATTAATTTTCTCTTTTTCTGTTCATATTTAGTGACATCATCAAGTTTCTCACTCCTTTCATCCTCTTTGGTAACATCATGGATCTTTACTGTATTTTGAACATCTTTCCTAACATCATCAATTTTTCTGTTAATTTGTTCTTTTGGTATTATCATCATCAATTTTTTTTTTTCGTCACTTTCGTCATCTTTACTCTCACCATGAATTTGTGTATGACTTTCGCTTTCTTTTATATCAACATTAATTTTCTCTTTTTCTGTTCATATTTAGTGACATCATCAAGTTTCTCCTCCTTTCATCCTCTTTGGTAACATCATGGATCTTTACTGTATTTTGAACATCTTTCGTAACATCATCAATTTTCTGCTTAATTTGTTCTTTGGTATTATCATCATCAATTTTTCGTCACTTTCGTCATCTTTACTCTCACCATGAATTTGTGTATAACTTTCGCTTTCTTTTATATCAACATTAATTTTCTTTTTTCTGTTCATATTTAGTGACATCATCAAGTTTCTCACTCCTTTCATCCTCTTTGGTAACATCATGGATCTTTACTGTATTTTTGAACATCTTTCGTAACATCATCAATTTTTCTGCTTAATTTGTTCTTTGGTATTATCATCATCAATTTTTTCGTCCTTTCGTCATCTTTACTCTCACCATGAATTTGTGTATAACTTTCCTTTCTTTTTATATCAACATTAATTTTCTCTTTTTTTCTGTTTCATTTAGTGACATCATCAAGTTTCTCCTCCTTTCATCATTGGCAACATCATGGATTTTACTGTATTTTGAACCTCTTTCGTAACATCATCAATTTTCTCTTAATTTGTTCTTTATTATCATCATCAATTTTTTTCGTCACTTTCGTCATCTTTACTCACCATGAATTTGTAATTTGTGACATCTTTCTTTTATATCAACATTAATTTTCTCTTTTTTTTAGTGACATTCTTTTCTCACTCCTCATCAATTTTTCTTTCAACATCATCTTTCATCCTCTTTACTAATCATCATCCTTTACTCTCACCATGAATTTGTGTATGACTTTCGTTTCTTTTATATTTTCATTAATTTTCTCTTTTTCTGTTCATATTTAGTGACATCATCAAGTTTCTCACTCCTTTCATCCTCTTTGGTAACATCCTTGGATCTTTACTGTATTTTTGAACATCTTTCGTAACATCATCAATTTTTCTGCTTAATTTGTTCTTTGGTATTATCATCATCAATTTTTCGTCACTTTCGTCATCTTTACTCTCACCATGAATTTGTGTATGACTTTCGCTTTTATATCAACATTAATTTTCTCTTTTTTTCTGTTCATATTTAGTGACATCATCAAGTTTCTCCTCCTTTCATCCTCTTTGGCAACATCACGGATCTTTACTGTATTTTGAACATCTTTCGTAACATCATCAATTTTCTGCTTAATTTGTTCTTTGGTATATTTAGTGACATCATCATGTTTCTCACTCCTTTCATCCTCTTTGGTAACATCATGGATCTTTACTGTATTTTGAACATCTTTCGTAACATCATCAATTTTCTGTTTAATTTGTCCTTTGGTATTATCGTCATCAATTTTTCATCACTTTCGTCATCTTTACTCTCACCATGAATTTGTGTGTATGACTTTCGATTTCTTTTTTATATCAACATTAATTTTCTCTTTTTTCTGTTCATATTTAGTGACATCATCAAGTTTCTCCTCCTTTCATCCTCTTTGGCAACATCCTTGGATCTTTACTGTATTTTGAACATCTTTCGTAACATCATCAATTTTCTGTAATTTGTTCTTTGGTATATTTAGTGACATCATCATGTTTCTCCTCCTTTCATCCTCTTTAGTAACATCATGGATCTTTACTGTATTTTGAACATCTTTCGTAACATCATCAATTTTCTGTTTAATTTTTTCTTTTAGTATTTTAGTGACATCATCAATTTTTCTTCATCCTTTCATCATCTTTGGTCTCATCATTTTCTGATTTTTATCAATTTTGAACATCTTTTATATCATCATTAATTTTCTCTTTTTTTGTCTTCTCCTATTATCATTTCAATTTTTTCATCATTTCGTCATCTTTACTCTCACTGCTGAATTTGATATTTAGTACATAATCTTTTCGCTTTTCTTTTTTGGTAACATCATGGATCATTTTCGAATTTTTCTCTTTTTTCATCTGTTCTTTGGTATATTTAGTGACATCATCATGTTTCTCCTCCTTTCATCCTCTTTGGTAACATCATGGATCTTTACTGTTTTTGAACATCTTTCGTAACATCATCAATTTTCTGCTTAATTTGTTCTTTGGTATTATCATCATCAATTTTTTCGTCACTTTCGTCATCTTTACTCTCACCATGAATTTGTGTATGACTTTCGGTTTCTTTTTTATATCAACATTAATTTTTCTCTTTTTCTGTTCATATTTAGTGACATCATCATGTTTCTCACTCCTTTCATCCTCTTTGGTAACATCATGGATCTTTACTGTATTTTTGAACATCATTCGTAACATCATCAATTTTCTGCTTAATTTGTTCTTTGGTATTATCATCATCAATTTTTTCATCACTTTCGTCATCTTTACTCTCACCATGAATTTGAGTATAACTTTCGGTTTCTTTTATATCAACATTAATTTTCTCTTTTTCTGTTCATATTTAGTGACATCATCATGTTTCTCCTCCTTTCATCCTCTTTGGTAACATCATGGATCTTTACTGTATTTTGAACATCTTTCGTAACATCATCAATTTTTCTGCATTAATTTGTTCTTTGGTATTATCATCATCAATTTTTTCATCACTTTCGTCATCTTTACTCTCACCATGAATTTGGATGTATGACTTTCGCTTTCTTTTATATCAACATTAATTTTCTCTTTTTTTCTGTTCATATTTAGTGACATCATCAAGTTTCTCTCCTTTCATCCTCTTTGGTAACATCATGGATCTTTACTGTATTTTGAACATCTTTCGTAATATCATCAATTTTCTGCTTAATTTGTTCTTTGGTATTATCATCATCAATTTTTTCGTCACTTTCGTCATCTTTACTCTCACCATGAATTTGTGTATGACTTTCGCATTCTTTTATATCAACATTAATTTTCTCTTTTTTCTGTTCATATCTAGTGACATCATCAAGTTTCTCACTCCTTTCATCCTCTTTGGTAACATCATGGATCTTTACTGTATTTTTGAACATCTTTCGTAACATCATCAATTTTCTGCTTAATTTGTTCTTTTTCGTATTATCATCATCATTTTTTCGTCACTTTCGTCATCTTTACTCTCACCATGAATTTGTGTATGACTTTCGGTTTCTTTTATATCAACATTAATTTTCTCTTTTTTTCTGTTCATATTTAGTGACATCATCAAGTTTCTCCTCCTTTCATCCTCTTTGGTAACATCATGGATCTTTACTGTATTTTGAACATCATTCGTAACATCATCAATTTTCTGCTTAATTTGTTCTTTGGTATTATCATCATCAATTTTTTCATCACTTTCGTCATCTTTACTCTCACCATGAATTTGTGTATGACTTTCGCTTTCTTTTATATCAACATTAATTTTCTCTTTTTCTGTTCATATTTAGTGACATCATCAAGTTTCTCCTCCTTTCATCCTCTTTGGTAACATCATGGATCTTTACTGTATTTTGAACATCTTTCGTAACATCATCAATTTTCTGCTTAATTTGTTCTTTGGTATTATCATCATCAATTTTTTCGTCACTTTCGTCATCTTTACTCTCACCATGAATTTGTGTATGACTTTCGCTTTCTTTTATATCAACATTAATTTTCTCTTTTTTCTGTTCATATTTAGTGACATCATCAAGTTTCTCACTCCTTTCATCCTCTTTGGCAACATCATACATCTTTACTGTATTTTGAACATCTTTCCTAACATCATCAATTTTCTGCTTAATTTGTTCTTTGGTATTATCATCATCAATTTTTTCGTCACTTTCGTCATATTTACTCTCACCATGAATTTGTGTATGACTTTCGCTTTCTTTTATATCAACATTAATTTTCTCTTTTTTCTGTTCATATTTAGTGACATCATCAAGTTTCTCACTCCTTTCATCCTCTTTGGTAACATCATGGATCTTTACTGTATTTTGAACATCTTTCGTAACATCATCAATTTTCTGCTTAATTTGTTCTTTTTGTATTATCATCATCAATTTTTTTCATCACTTTCGTCATCTTTACTCTCACCATGAATTTGAGTATAACTTTCGCTTTCTTTTATATCAACATTAATTTTCTCTTTTTCTGTTCATATTTAGTGACATCATCAAGTTTCTCACTCCTTTCATCCTCTTTGGTAACATCATGGATCTTTACTGTATTTGAACATCTTTCGTAACATCATCAATTTTCTGCTTAATTTGTTCTTTGGTATTATCATCATCAATTTTTTCGTCACTTTCGTCATCTTTACTCTCACCATGAATTTGTGTATGACTTTCGCTTTCTTTTATATTAACATTAATTTTCTCTTTTTTCTGTTCATATTTAGTGACATCATCAAGTTTCTCACTCCTTTCATCCTCTTTGGCAACATCATGGATCTTTACTGTATTTTGAACATCTTTCGTAACATCATCAATTTTCTGCTTAATTTGTTCTTTGGTATTATCATCATCAATTTTTTCGTCACTTTCGTCATCTTTACTCTCACCATGAATTTGTGCATGACTTTTCGCTTTCTTTTATATCAACATTAATTTTCTCTTTTTTTTCTGTTCTATTTAGTGACATCATCAAGTTTCTCCTCCTTTCATCCTCTTTGGTAACATCATGGATCTTTTCAATATTTTGAACATCTTTCGTAACATCATCAATTTTCTGCTTAATTTGTTCTTTGGTATTATCATCATCAATTTTTTCGTCACTTTCGTCATCTTTACTCTCACCATGAATTTGTGCATGACTTTCGCTTTCTTTTATATCAACATTAATTTTCTCTTTTTTCTGTTCATATTTAGTGACATCATCAAGTTTCTCACTCCTTTCATCCTCTTTGGTAACATCATGGATCTTTTCGGTATTTTGAGCATCTTTGCTAACATCGCCAATTTTCTGCTTAATTTGATCCTGTTTGATATCATCATCAAGTTTTTGGATAATTTGATTGTCTTTGATAATATCATCAATTTTTTCATAACTGTCGTCACCTTTGCTGATATTAACAAAATTATCTGTTTTCTGATTATATTTGGTGACATCATCAACTTTCTGTCTACTTTTGTCTCCTTTGCTTACAACAACTTCTTCCTGACTTTCGTCACCTTTGCTGACATCATCAATTTTCGCTGTACTCGGACCATTTTTGCTGACACCAGTTTTCTTTGCACTATGACCATCTTTTGTGACATCATCAATTTCGACTGTACCTTTGCTGCTATCATCAATTATCTCATCCCTTTGCTCACTTTTGCTGACATAGTCAGTTTTCTCTCTACTTTGATCATCTTTGTTGATTTTGTTATCATTTTGATCATGAATTTTCTCACGACTTTGCTCATCTTTGCTGACATCATAATTTTTCTCGGTTGTTTGATAATTATCTTTAGTGATATCAAATTTATCTGTAATTTGATCTTCTTGTATCATATCTATTTTCTCTTTACTTTGGTTATCTTTGCTGATATCATCAGGTATCTCATCATCTTTATCATCTTGTTCAACCACAACAGTTTTTTCATCATTTTGATTACCTTTGCTGACACCATCTGTCTTCTCTCTACTTTGATTAACTTTACTGACATCATTGGTTTTGTCATCATTTTGATCATCTTTGCTGATATGATTCATTTTTTCATGACTTTGATCACTTTTGCTGACATCAAATTTACCTGTATTTTGATCATCTTTGGTATCAGAATCAATTTCCTCTCTTCTTTGATTACCTTTGCTAACATGTTCAATTTTCTCAATAATTTGTCCACCTTTACTGACATAATCAATTTCCTCTTCATTTTTCCTCTTCTCTTTCTTTTCTTCTGTACTTGAAGTAACTTCTTCGCTGACATTATCATCGTCCTTATCCCCCATAAAATGTATTTTCTCTACTTCTTTTGGATACCAACCAAATCGTGTACTCATTTGTTTCTCTTTTGTAAGTTTTTTTATAGTGTCGTCCACATCCACTTTACGAAATTGGCTCCCCAAGGTTCGAATTATTTCATGAAAGAATATCTTTCGGAGTTTAGCTATCTGTTCATCGGTTAGTGAAAAATTATACTTTGAGTTAGCATTATTTATTTGCTGTTGCGTCTGATTGGTGTTTATTGTAGTCTTTTGACCCTTGAACCAGTTGCTCAAAAGTCCACGAAGTTTCTTCTTGAGTGTGACCAGCAACGAGACTCTCTTCCTTGTCAGCTGATTATTGTTCTGCTTTCGACCTTCGTAAAAATCTGACCGGAAAACATCAGCCAGCTTCAGGTTTTTCTTCTGCCAAATATTTAAGGGTTGTTTGAGAGATTCATTTGGTTTCCCTGTTATTTTTCCTGACGCTTTGTTCGGGCTTTTCAGGTCTGCGAAAAAAAAAAAAGAAGATTTTTTTTAATCATTTCACTCCCAAAAAGCAAGACGCAAGGGGTTATTGAATATGAGAGAACATAAGAAAAATAAAACATTATTAAGGAGAGAGAACTATAAAAGCACAGAAATCAAGCCAAAAGATAACAATTGATTTAAATTTTTTAAGATCAAAGTTGACTAGAAAGAAAGAAGATGGAAGAGAGTCCCACAAGTGAGAAGTGTGAGGGAAGAAACTGTTAACATAGAACCTACGTTTACATCTAGTCAATTCAACTTTAAATTGATGAGACTCTGCTGCGAAACTAGTACTGCGCTTAAATTTATAAAGTCTGGGTACCATAGCGAAAAGTTCATCGGAGCAAAAGTTTTTAAAGAAGAGGCATAGGGAAACTACGTTACGATGGTCAAGCAAAAATCCGATTTCCCTTTATCCGCTGATTTATAATCAAATATCCGCGCTATTTACAGATTTACAGATCCTTTAGGTAATATCTTACTTTCTACGCGATATTCTCAGTTCATCAAATTTGGATTATATTCCACTATCACTATAAGCTAACTCATGTTTGTGCTAAACATTAGTGTCGGTTTCAAACCTTGATGACTGAAGCTACAGAATCACAAATGAGACTTTCAACAGCAGTTTCGTGATGTCAACGAACACTCGTTACCACATTTGTAATGCCAATGAATACTCATTGCCACTTTCGTCTTGCTCGTTGTAGTAGAGACTTTGTAATCGCACATACAACTATAGTACGCCGTTGAAAAATGCTGGTGTCAGACGCCTTCGAATAACTATCGCGCTAATAGTACTTGATCGATAATAATCGCTCGAACAGTAATCCGTATAGTGGTCCGTATAGAGGAATAGTATAGCGAATAGAGTAGAGAATAGCGGTCCGTATAGTAATAGAGGATATCGGAAAAATGGCAATTCGAATAGTAATAGAGGATAGACTAGAAATAGCGATCGTTAGTTGTCAGCTACTTCCTACATATACGCGTTTTCTTTATGGTCACGTGGTCTACTTAGAATTCAATAATGGGATCGCCTGTGTTTGCTCACTGGCGATCTATGTTCAAACACAAGTGTCGGCAGTGATACTTTATTCCTATATAACAAGCAAGAACACCTAAAATGGATCTCAGTTGTAACTCGAAGAGAAAATAATGGCATAAGTAAGTTGCTGATATTCCACATTACTTCAAACAAAAGTTTAAGAAGTAAATCACCATCAGTACTTGAAAGAGCGATAACACCTACTGGACTTGAGAAATCTATTTTTCTGAGAACTTTTATTTTTAATCATATGACCCAAAACAAGACAGTAAAGCCACTAAAACACAAGGGGTTACTGAGTGTGAAAGAATAAAAAAAGAGAAACATTAAGAAATAAGAATAATAGAAGAGTAATCAAGAAGACATTAGATCATGATTGAAGGAAACAATTTAATCGTGCTCGCCCTTATATTTGGTATATAAGATGTAGATATTAAGTTATTAATATTAAGCTATGTTCTTAAATAGGCTCGTAATTTAGAGACTTTCAAATGGATGCCATACATGGCATTAAATCCGTTCAGAAATATCTAAACTGCCAAACTCGCTTTCCCAGAGAAATGTTTAAAATGGCTTCGAGTGAGTGAATCCTGTGTGTCTTGGCGAAGACCGTCCTTCTTCGAACCTTGTGTACTGACGCTACAGAATCATAAACAAAGAACTGTATCACTTGAATAATTTCAACAGCTGAAATAAATATCACATGTAACTGGAAGATGAAATCAAGATAGTGACATTCCAGACTACTTCAGATCAAAGGTTAGAAAGGAAACCGCCATGAATACTATAACAGCTACTGGATTTGAGAAAACAGTGCTTTGAAAAATTATTTTAAGAGAAAGATTTTATTTCAACCGATAGTAGTACTCTGACTCCCTATATATATTAGGATATTAAAACAAAAACATGTTTAAAATTGTTACATTATTACAATCATGTTTCAGCACCACAAATGTGTCTCCTTCGGCAATGTTAAACCAGTGGCGAGCGAAAGATTAATTTAATTTCATAAGCAGAATACTTTTAAAAAATAGGCTTGTGCGCTTTGCCGTGATTAACCAATCGAATGTGACCTACGCTAAATTCAAACCCACCGAAAATATTTTTTTAATATAAGTCATGACACGAAGTTGTCTGCATATAAATCCTAGACAATTTCCTTATGAGCAATTACAAGTTGTTACATTAATTCGTAAGAGGTATCGAAGTCTGACGTTCAACTTTCCAAATAAGTAAAAGCTTAAAGGGGTAGGGGGCAATTTAAGATAATGCTAACTAGTTATATACTCGTTCAGCTTCTTATATTAAATCTTATAGTTAATAAATAAAGGCCTCTTTAAGAAACTGGTAAATAACCTTTGGAAAAAAAAACTGATAAAAATACAGAACTACTTTGGCAAATTCAACCGTTAAATAAAGATCATTCATATCAGATGTTAACAATACCAACTAACCAATTGTTATGGTCCGGTTCCTTGTACCACGGTGACAGTCCAAGGTAGAACTAATAAATAAGAACTCGAATGGAATAACACAGATATATTACAAACAGGAATACATACAGAGAAGAAGAAAGTGTTAGTACGAACAATCAGGTTTAGTAGTAATTGTCTGAACACGACTCTGTTTCGGACCGCCTCTGACTCGACTGACTGACTCCTGACGGACTTTACTCCAGACTTCAGACGGAACTCCCTGCTTCCTCTTGAGGCGCAGTATTTATTACGTATGGAATAGTCCATTATGTTATTATGGGTAAGGTCCCATAACACCAATGTAAGATGTTAACAATAATAACTAAACAGCTATACATCCATCTTGCACTCGGTAATAGCAACTGCGGTTTTTTGGTATCTTGATCCGTCCCTGATCGAGTACAACAAAATTCAAACAACTCTTTTTTTCTTTTCTTTCTTTTTTTTATACCTAGATAAATAAAATTTATATAGAAGTACCCAAAAGAAATAATAATAAATTAATCTTATATTAAAAAATATCAAATGCCTTGTCTTATTTTCTTTTATTATAATTTTATTTATTGGATTTGTGATAAGTTTTCTTTATTGTCAGTTATCTTTATTGTTATTATGTTCTTCAGGCATGGCGTCAACAGGACTACTCAGAACTTTTCGGAGAATCTTCGCAATGCAAATGATGGAGGTCTACAATGTTTGTTTCAATTGCAGTTTTCTCTAAGCGCTTTTTCCATTTTCTAGGTGGTGCTTTAAGCGCACTTATTACTAAAGGAATTAGTTTTACATTCATTTTCCATAGTTTCTGCAGCTCCCGAGCTAGATCCTGGCATTTTTCTATCTTTTCAGTTTCATCAGCTTCCATTCATGTATCATATGAAATTCCATTATTTGACAAATGTTATTCCCATATGAAAATAAGGTCGAGTTTTCGTACTTCCATGAAATGATCTGTCCGGACTGAAAAGTGCCATATCTTGAAACTGCCATCTCTTATCACTGATTCTGGCTGATGTTCAAAATATTTCTCTTTTAATTGAAGCCAAACTCACGGCATATTTCACAATAGGTTCTCCTACCAATCCAATCATCTCGACGCTTATGCTTCTGTAGCAACTTGGGACAATCAGCGAGTATGTGATTAACTGCCTCACCAGCTTGTGTACACATTTATTTCTTTATTTTGTGATCTGTCTAGCCGAGTCTTGATTGCATTCTGTTTGATAAACTGCTCCTGTGCAGCAAATATGAGTGACTCTGTTTTTTTTCTTTATAAAAACCACTTTTAGCCAAAGTCACCTATCAGGTCCAGTAATTGTCTTCATCTTCTGAAAAACCAATTCTTTTGAGTTGTCATGCCGCTTCTCGTGCTGTTTCTTTGATAGTCACACACAAAACATTTTGCACCTTTAGATGCCTGCCCACCCTAGATTTAGCTGTCTAAAGCAATTCACGAGGACTCTCAATATAATTCAGAAATCTCATAATAACCAATGGCACAACTTTTTCAATACTAATTATCCACCTGCCACCCTCCTTGGAATATGCAGCCAATTAGCATCACTTCGTTCCATTCAGAGCCTTATACATATTCATCAATTTGTGCGTTCTTATATTCTTCTTCTCGAATTCCGTATAATTCCAATCTAAGAATTCTACAGAATAGCATAGCTTAGAAACTGCCCAAGTATTAATTCCTTTGATTGTATTTCCACCATTTAGTTTTCTTGCAAGAA